AAAAAAATCTGAAATGTTCAGTTAAACAATATATTTATAAATATTAATAAATCATTATCAATCCTTGGTTTGCTTTTTCCTAGGGTTCCTTTAAAAAAAAAATCCTGGCTCATTCCCACTTCTATGTTCCTTTCTTATTCACAGCTTTAGAATCCTACTCCTCTAACAATGAAAAGACCCACATTTGTATGGCTGAATCTACACAGGACTCTGCAACGAAACACGTTTTCCAATTATTACAGATCTGCTTTGTTTAGAATACTCTAGATCTGTTTTTGTATCTGAGAATATAACACCCCTGACAGAGGAGTTGTTTTAGGGGTGGGGTGGGGTGGGGCGGGGCATCACCTCCTTTACCTGTTTAATTGACAACAGAAAGGAGGCAAAGCATTAGACGTTATTGTAATTATATTTACTTCCATTTCTTTTCATTAGCGGCATTTTGTTAACTTTCTAAATTATGCACTGTTGCCTTGACCTATATTTTTAACTGCCTGAAAGAATAATAAAAGAACTGAAAGGCAGTAATTTTGGTCTTAAAGTTTGAACTTCAAATGCTTGTATTTTTAGTGCACAATCTAAAGGTGCTTGTTAAACTGAGGGGAGAAACAGATTTAGGTCAGCTAATGAAAATACGTTCATGAAAAACAATTCATTTGTGAGGGATTTTTTAATTATTTATTTTGTGCTTGTTTGAACTGATAATGATGCAATATCACCTCCTGATCAATAAATTCTAATATGACTGTGATGTCAATGAAGTGTTTTATAATCTGAAGATCCTGCAAATTCTTCAATGTAACAATAAGAGTAACTGTAGAATAAAGAGATCCAGCCACAATGATATAATGTTAACAATTTGTATTTGACAATGAATCTAAGCTGCTTCCCATTCCAAAGGCTATCAGAATATACTCTATTGTATTCTTAGAAAATATTTGAGATTCAAGAAGTACAAGGCATGCTTAAATCCTTGGAAACTATGTATCAGATCTGGTGGCTGATGGATTTTCCAAATGGAAAATGCTCTGCTGAGAAATTTGACAAGCATGGAGCAACTGTTCTAAAGAATGCAGTGTACAGTTTTCAGATTGAACAACAGCAATTGGATTAGGCATTCATCTCAGTATACTGAAGTATCACACATTTCAGTACTATCAATAGTATACAATCTGTGAAAACAGCCCTAATACTTCATCCTTTAAAGCAGCAAAAGTATTTCAATAGGAACTATTGACTGTAAAAGTGCTTGACTTCTGAAGAACTATTAATATGTGACTAGAACAATGAATTATCACAGGTGTACTAGGAATGTGAATATCCACAAAATATGTTGTTAAATTGAGAATAGTCCAGATAATAAATACTGGTTTCCTTCTTCAGAGAAACTTTTTGCTCTTCCACATGGACTGGTATAATATGATTAGAATTTACCTTGTCCAGAACTTGGTCATTTCTTAAAGACACATAGCAAAGTTGAAGGCTTTGTTTTATTTACTTTAAAGTTGCACAAATTACTTACTATTCTTGCATGATCTATAACAGCTGAGCAATCTTTCTGTGCTATTGAGAGAAACTGAAAACTTGGCTTAAACCTAGCAAGGAGAAGCGTTGCTCTTTTACATTTGCACAAGGACATCAACTCTGACAGTGCAACAGTCAAGTCACCATTTGTTGAAACAACTGTCAGTGTTTTCTAGGTTTTTTTGGAGCCTTTTACAATGTGAGCTATCTGTGTGGTAAAGCATGAATTATTGTATTTCTCAGATGTAGTTTATCTTAGCAAACATAGCAACGTACAAAAAGTGCTAAAGGTACATTGGTTGCTACCTGTTTTGATTGACAGTTGGAAAAATAAATAATTTGAATAGATTTCAATATGAACACACCAACAACACAGATTCTCAGCTAGAGTAATTTCAAGGCTTAACTGGTTTGAACCTAATCCAATCCTTTTCTTTCGATCCCTATAACACACAAAAACTAAGCAAACCCTATTATTCTTTTCAGTATGTCACCCAAAATGCCTGTAGGGAAATTAGAATATACTAAATGCCAATAAAGGAGAATATTTGTAGTTCAGAGTTGAAATGAGGGTTCTTAGTGCTGTCTGAGCTTGCTTGTTTTCTTGTAGACATTTCATTACCCTAACTAGGTTACATCATCAGTGCTATACTAACTGCACTTACTGATCATGAGACCTAGTCACTTACTTTACATTGGGGCTCACACTTTTAATCATCTATGGCAAAGTTGGGCTTTCGAAAGTGATTGATTCACAAATATGCCTCATTGATCCACCACACTCTAAGTATGTTATGACAGCCAACCATTTCTTTTTAAGATGATGGTGGAAAACTTTTCCTTTTTTTCTGAATGCGGTCTATTGTTTTCCATTTTCTCCCTACTCTAAATGTTATTGCTTTAATACAAATCAGTACAAGAACTTTCTGAAAATAAAGGGAAAGAAAGAAAGAAAGAAAGAAAGAAAGAAAGAAAGAAAGAAAGAAAGAAAGAAAGAAAGAAATGCTTTCTTTGTGTAGTATTATAGATGTCAGGATTTAAGTATCAATTCCTCCTGATATTTTGAATTTTGACTCTCATCAGACCCAAAATTCAAGGGTTGTTCATTAGGGTGAGCAGGTAGTATACTATATGTTGTGTATGACTGCCATCCAGGAACAGCATAGGTTATTTTTGTTAGTAGTCATCCTAATTATTCAATAAATCTAATGTTCTTTATATAATGATGCATTCCATTTTTTTAAATTGGTCACGTTATGACTGTAGTGAATCCTGCCCATTCTGGCTGTAACATGTGATGGTCATAAAGTTTTTGCATCAGTCTTAAGTGAATGCTGTTATTAAGTGAATACCGCAGTTGTTAAGGAAATCAATGGTTCGCTATTGGAGCATTTTGCCAAAAACCAGTAACCTAGTAAATGCCAATTTTCAGCAAAATGCAGTCATGACATTGCAAACAGTCACATGAGTGCATAGGGCTGTGATGGTAGACCTATGGCACGCATGCCCCAGGTGCCTCTGCAGGCACACGAGCCGTCGCCGCAGCTCAGTTCCACTGTGCATGTATACGCGCCTCCTGCCGGCCAGTTGATTTTCAGGTCTCTGCCATACATGCGCAGGGCGCATGTTGGAGATGCAGGTGGATGCGTGGGGGTGGGTCACATATGAGAGTCGCATGTCCATTTGTGGGGGGCAGAGTTCATGCAGAGTGGGTCGTGCTGGATGCATGGGGCACATTTTATTATGGGTGTGTGTGCGCATGCTTTTAGCATTCAGCACCAAAAAAGTTAGCCATCACTGGTATAGAGGGAAGGTAACCATCAGAACTTTGAATCCAGATCATAAGTATCCCAAGTATCAGAACTTTGAATTATTTCTAAGCAGTTGGTTGTAAGTCGAAGACTCCTGTATAACCACAGTTAAGCCCCACAGACAACTACAGTTTTATTAAATGACTTTTTTTCAGAAAATTTTTTATTCTCCATAATGGTTTTAAAATTGATCTGTATTCCATAAGGAAACAGAAGTCAAATCATATGTGGAATGATAACTGAAAATCAGAAAAATTGTCATTATTCCCATCATCATCATAAAATAACAATCATTTAGCTAAAGAAAATCTGGAGAGGTTTTGTCCTATAAAGTTAGTTACAAAGAAGCTTCACTGTCTGAAAGAGGGAAAATCCAAAACATATGGACAAATTACCAAAACAAATTACCTATTGTGTTAAAGACTAAGAATGAAAACCCCATGATTGGATGTTTATGATAGATGAAAAACACAGAATTAATGTTACCATATTGCATTATGCTTTTGTTTTTAAGACACCTCACCAAGTTCTATCCTGGGCCTAGTGCTAAGAGCTTGTGATCTGGGAAGAATAATTTGTAGGGCTTGCAATGTTTCAAACTCAGAGGCAGAAGATGTCAAAGTGTGCAGGAATACAAATGTAGCCCTTGTCTTCAAATCATTAAAACAGCCATGCCGTTTTCCAGGATTGCATGACTGTCATCTAAACCATTTTACAATATCAGAAAAAGATACATTTGGTCACAACACTACAGATTACTATGGTGTTTTTTTTTCTTTGCTCCTGAGTGCTTTAAAATACTTTGTGGTCTTTGAATCCAAAACACGGCAGGAATCTAATAATTTGCGGGCAATTCCCTTTGACCTTCTCCATGCTTTGGCTCCTCTTGCATGCACTAAAGTCGGTTGTATCTGCCTGGATTGTCTGAGTGCTAGGTTACTTCATTTAGCCTTAAAAAAATTAAAATTAAAATAAGGAATGAAACAGAATAGCATCCAAACGTATCTTGATTAGTAGCACCAGGAGTCTTAATCTCTGAAATAATCCTTTCAGGCTCATCAAAATCAACACAGACGCTGTATGAATTAAACAATATGCAATATATAATCAGAGTAATGCATAGTCATGTAAAGTATAAGTCAGCCAGGAAAAAGTTGTGTCATCCTATGGGTGTTCCTTCACAAAGGGATAGAATCAAGATCACGTGCAGTGTTAATACCACTTTATAATGCCTTGGTAAGGCCACACTTGGAATACTCCATTCAGTTTTGGTCACCACGATGTAGAAAAGATGTGGAGATTCTAGAAAGAGTGCAGAGAAGAACAACAAAGATGATTAGGGGACTGGANAGATAGATAGATAGATAGATAGATAGATAGATAGATAGATAGATAGATGATAGTTATTGCAACTTCCTCTGGGTTTAAAATGGCTTAAAATGTTGAGGCTGACGACATAAAAACCTCTTTTCCTTATAATTTATGGTGCAGTGAGATAATTGCAAATCTCAGTACAGATGGTCCTTGACTTACAACAGTTAAGACCAGCTGTAGTCTTAATGGAAGCCCCCTCCTCTTTAAATCAAATAGCTGCCTAAAGAGGAAATCCCCCCTGTTGCAGAAACAGTTATTTTAAAAGGAAGCCAAACACAACAGGCCTTTGTTATTTTACCTTGAAACCACCAATGCGATGATCAGGTCTGAATTCCCTGCCATTCTTCAGCCAACGCAGCGAAGGGGTGGGTGTCCCACTAGAGGGGCATTTAAACTTCACAGTTTTGGCAGCAGGAACGGCATGGAGTTTCTTCTCCATCTTGTCCGGGTAGGTCCAGTAAGGTGGGATGGCTTCTGCAAGAGAACCAATAAAGACGTGGCAAGTTAGGCTAACATTCCACACAAAAGTTGGTCAAGATATGGGAGATGTTCCAAGACAATTGAAGGGGGAAAATGTATCAAGAATTGTTGGTGTTCGAGTCCCAACTGGGAGTTTGGGCAGCCAGGTCATCACCTGGATCTCCTGAACCACTCAAGATCCTGGTCAGAGGGAGCAATTCGGGTTGTTCAAAATTTGGATGGTATGCCTGGCATGGAATCCTTCTGACCACGAGAATCGGGTGGCATTGGAGAATCAGTCTCATACTATGGTTCACTGCACAGCTTTTGTAAAAAATAAATTGGGTCTGCAAAATGTCAGGGTTCCAAGTAACACCCCCAATGTAAGAAGTTCCTCAAAGTTCCATTTTATTAAAGACGTCTTATTGGCACAACTGGGAAAACCCAAATCTGAAAGCTTCCAAGTTTTTCCCCACCCAAATGAAAGTCCGAGTCCCTGCTCAGCACCCACATGTCCTTCACATGGTCCAATCAGGCACCGTCCCAACTGGAGATGTCTCCCAGTCACACCACTCCAGGTGCAGGGCAAGACGTCCTTGCCTCTCTGAGAAAGGAATGTGATTATAACTATATATCTCCCACACTCCATATCATCTCCCCTCCCATTTTCCCACAGCAGTAAACGTGGCAGGCCGGAAGGCCCAGTGCACAAGATGGCTTCCAGGCCTGACACAATATTCAACTACTCTTAGATATACAGGTAGTTCTCAACTTACATCAGTTTATTTGGTGACCATTCAAAGTTACAACATAATTGAAAAAAGGGACTGATGACATTTTTTCTGCGGCAGCGGTTGTGTGAAAAAACAGTCATAAATCACTTTTTTTCACTGCTGTTGTAACTGTGAGTGGTGGCTAAACAAACTGTTGTAAGTCAAGAGCCGTGGCATGACAAAACTGCGCTCGTCAAAATAGCGGTGATAAAATCACGTCGCTAAAGCCGCGACGTCATCACCGCGCATCATCACTGCCGCGACAACAGCGCGGCAACAGAAGGGCGCTTTAAAAAGGCGCCGCGGCAGAAAGCCGATTTCAATTAAGGTAAGGGTTAGGATTAGGTTTAGGGGTTTGTTT